AACACTTCTAGATCATGTCAATTTTTGGGTGATAAGCTGGTAACAGCCGCATGTTGTTGTTCACAAGTCATATGGATGAAAACCTAGCTCAAAGGCTATGGTTATACATTTAACAAAGTCCCCCATTTATTGTGATTCCAAGAGTGCAATTTCCATCACTGAAAATCCTATTCAACACCCAAGACTAAGCACATTGATATTATGTATAACTTTATCAAAAATCATGTTGAGAAGGGGATAATAGGAATGTATTTTGTTCAATAAATTATCAACTTGTTAATCTCTTTACAAAAACATTATATGAAAATAGATTCAATTTCTTTGTTGGCAAGTTAGGTATGCTAAATAAATTTATACTTGATCTTAGCTGTAATTTAACCAGAGTTTAAGAATGTTCTAAATTGGATTATTCCTTTAAATCTTAGTTTACTTGAAACTCTTTGTATTCAATTTTTTTTATAGAAGTCTGAGACTATGTTCTCAGATTTCACAAAAGTCAGAAGAAACTACTTTAAACTTGATAAAAAGTCTGAGACCACGTATTCAGACTTATGAAAAGTCTGAGGTTGTATACTTAGAGATAATTCTTATTTATGAGATATTAAGATAAACTTTCATCTAAATTTATACATTCCAATTGTGCCAAGCATTTTACTCTGATTCAGTATAACTCTAAAGTAGCAAATTATTCTTAATTGTTTACATCCGAGAAACATAATTATACCTTACATATTTATATGCAAAGTGTGATACCCAAAAATGGGGTAAATAAATAAATATGAAAAGAAAATGAAAAAGAAAAAGAAAAGGAAAATAAAATAAAATTGGTTTTTATTTAATTGGACAAAAAATGTGAAGAAAAACATGAAAATGGGCCAATCATGCCATTTAATGAAAGTGAGAAACCCGTAGTGACCCCATGTGTAATCGAGTTGTAAATTTTTCAACCAACAGTTATCAGGTTATGATCATTTTGACCTAACCTAACCTGATAAACTTTATATTCTTTTATTTCTTGAACTTAATATGATTGTTAAGTCTCTATGTACACTAGACAATTATATCATCACGTACCCTCTTCATATATATATATATATATATATATATGTAATCAATCTCTTCTCTGTCTCTATATAACTCCTTCGTATATATGTTCATTCAATATGAACATATATATGCAAATTGAGAAAAGTAGTTGAACGTGATATACTTATAAGGAGTATGGATAAGTTATACCAAAAAATTGACGATGAAAAAGGAATTATGAGTAAAGAACAACATATTCAAGGTAACAATAATATTTTGATGTACCAAAGTATCAGCCCGACCAACCCGTAGTGTTTGGATTGGGTTAGGTTGGATTGGGCTGCATTTTGGCTTGGATTTGAGTTGAGATATTTCAAATTGTAAACATTAGGTTGAGTTATTGAAATGTCTTCAATATGATCAACCCAACTCATGAGTTTCCCAAAAAAGGAGTTTATGTTGAATAAGACTAAAAATGAAAGAAAATGTTAGATTGGGGGTAAAAAAATGTAAAGTGGCCAAAGTATTGATGCAAGGGTGGTTAAATGCCAATATTTGATGGTTCAAGGGTGTGTCAGTGTCAATTTTCTCATACTTGAGGGTTCTGTTTTGTAAATATGACCGATCTGATTGTCTGAAAAAGACACATCAATGCTGATTTTTAAGGCCTCCTATTGGCTCACTAGGTCAACAAAAAAAAAGCCAAAAAAGCCTTTAGATTTATTTAGCCAATACTTTCCTCTAAGCTCAACCAAATTTTGAGTTCTTTACATGGTTCGGTTCGTTTTTAAGTCCTCTATTTAACCTTAGTATGTTTACATCTAAGATTTTAGTTTTCAATGTCCAATTTTGAGTTTTTTTTTTTTTTTTACAGATTTACAAGTGGGTTAGAAACAAAAAGAGTTTAATGAGAAAATGGGATTCAATACTTGATGATTTTCATTGATTCTTGTTCTTATGTATTCGTCTCAACCATCAGAAGTATAAATAATACAACTAACATCCGATTCAACACTTAGATAGAAAGTTTTATTACTCTTGTAACACTCATATCTGATATACAATATTAAATAGGATATGACTTACGTGATTTGACATACGAACCACAGGAAGCTCAAGTGTTTGGATCTTGGCCACCATCCGATTCATAACTTAAATAAAGTGTGATACCAATTTTTTGATTTGATTATTCTCCATCCAATTAGGAGAATCGGGTTGACCTATCTTTTTAATCAGTCCATCTTGTTTTTCAAGAATCCACATTTTATTCTAAATTATTCTAGTCCGATGTTCTTACTTCGTAATAATTCTATAGATGAAATCTGAACTATAACTTATATTTTGAAAATAGAAAATATAGGATTTTTTTTCTTTGCACAAGTCTTGTAACTATCTGTATTGATCCAAGACTAAAAAGCATTCAACAAAATTGAAAACTAGTTGAAGTGACGTCAAGATCGTCACTAAAGCAGATTGGTTTGTCATGTTGCCGAAAGTAAATCAATACAAGATAAAGTCAAATAGTAGTCTGAAATACTGCCACTAGCAAACCGAATTTCGGAGTGCAAACTTGTCCAACTAGTTTGGCTCATCAACTCTACTAACACTCATTCTGGTATGAAAACATGCTCAACAAACACATTTTGTGTAAGTCCTTATATTCCAGAACCAAAATTATGGTCGAATAAAATAATTTTCTAGAGTTTTAGTAATAAGTCCATAAAAAACGGATGATAAGCAAACTATTTAAGGGACGAGGCCGATTAGGCTGGGCTTTGCTCAATGTTGGGCTGCAGGTCTTGGGCTGAAGCCTATTATTGGGCCGGTTGTCTGGGCTATAGTAAAAGAAAATAAAAGGCCTAATGGTTGCTTTTAGTTATTCCAATTTGGTTTTTGGGTAATTGTCTGATTGGACATTTAATTATATTAAGCCCATGTGGATTATTAATTTCATATTATATTAGGATTAGGATTAGGGTTACATGTATGAAATAGCAACCTACTTTAATAAATTTTTTTATTATAGCGTTCTACTTTTTGTTTTTCTTTATTACACCAATGTATTTTCAAATTATTTTTTATTAAGGCATTGCATTTTAAAAAATCTACCTATTATAGCAATAGGTAACTTGTTACCTTTTAAATCGGTTAACCCCTTGATTTTTTTTGCTTGTGTGACTTTAATGAGGTGATGTGAATGACACATCATTTTGATGACTTAACTAAAATAAAAATAAAAAACTAATTTCAAATTATTATTAGTGATTTTTATTTTTCTTTGCTATGATTTAAAAAATATTTAATTTTTTTAATTTTTTCTTTTTAAGTTACATGCAAATTAAATAATTTAGAGTAACTTATTTCTTAAATAAATATACTATATTATTTTCGAGATATATTTTGTTTATAAAAATGTAACACTTCTTATTTTATGTTGTTAAAAAAATACATATCTTTTAGAGTTCTCTCTAAAATATTAACGAAATAAATTGTGTTCTACAATTTTTTTAATATTGTTATATTAATTAATAATTTAAAAAAATCTAATTAATATATTTATACGTCAAGTAAAAGTTTTTGAACAAATATAATATATTCTTTAAAAGTTAATATCTTTTTGGTAAAAAAAATGAACAATTCTTATTTTATTTTTTCAAAAAACACACATCTTTTTAAAAATATTAGCTAGATAAGTTGTCTTCTACTAGTTTTATTAATATTGATATATTAATGAATAATTAGAATTTTTTTAATTCATTCAATATATTTATTAAATAAATGTAAAATATCTAAATATTAAAATTAAAAGTAAATTGTTTAATAAGAACTAGTAGATGTTATAAAAAATTAATTTTGAAAGTACAATGTTGTAATAAGAAAGTCACATCATTATAATACACGTGGACAACCTACGTGGACAATGAGATGGCATGAAAACCTGGTATAATGGGTAAATTTAAATCAAAAGGTTACTCAATGCTAAAATGGGTAAATTTTTCAAAGTATAATGTTTTAATAAAAAATAGTTTGAAAGTATATTGTTGTAATAAAAAAAAACTGAAAGTACAATGCTATAATAAAAAGATTTATGAAAGTAGATTTTTATTTTGTGCATTTTGCCCTATTACATTATTAAAGGTATAATTACTTAGATTATGTTAATTAATTTAGTTTCTAAATTAATTAATATATTAATTAATTTAAATTATTATTAAACTATACATATTAATTCATTAATATCATAAGGAGGCGTTTATGAATTTATTCAATTAAATGAAGGATGTAAAGCGTCATATTTTGTTAAATATTTATCGAGACATTTGAATACGAAGCAAATGATTCGTTCAGTTGTTAAAATGATAAATCAACGAGTCATTATCAAACATATCACTCAGAGGTTCATTAAATTGTTTTGATGCTTTAACAATGAGATTAAAGCGTTGTAATTTGACTTGAGTACTTTTTGAGCCGCTCTAATTTGGAGAGATGAATTTATAACGTTAAATATCGATTATTTTAACGTTTTGGGACGTCATCAAGTTTTAGACTTGAGGTTTGACTAAAGTTAATCAAGGTTGACTGGGTTGATTAGTTTTGACTTTTACCTCGTTTGAACCGATTTCAAAAATGAGATCAAGTGGAGACATTTGAGTTAAAACCACTACTACTTGCTCCTTTTGGAGTTGCCCTACGCTGCTACCCATAGACTTTCAGGGTATAAGATTATTCAGACCAAAACCGCCACCCATATTCGGAAATGAATATGAACCACCCACCCGACGATTTTGTTTCTCAAAAGCAAGCTCTTTGACATGCCTCGGTAATCAATATCGGATCAAAGATATTCACATAATCCATGATCTGAATCCTCATACCTCCAATTTCCAATAAGCCACCTCAAATGCACTAGAAATAATCTAAATCCCTCTTCGCCTCGTTTATTATCCAAATAGACAAATATATCATACATACAACTTAACCCGCACAACGTTTAATGGATAAAAAAAGCGAAGAACGCCTTCATTAAGCACAAAAAGTGAAAAAAGCCAAGAAAAATAGCACACATTAAGCTCTATATCCACAAGAGATTCGAGGGGACTTAATTATTATGTCAAGATAGCTTCCATGCTTTACCACCATTCTTGTGAAATTTTTTAACCCTTCCAAATATCATCACCACAATGAGAACCAGTTTGCTGATACCATTCCATCTTCCAACGAACCCGTACGATGCGTCTTTGCAGTTTCCGTCAGGTTGAAGTTGTCGTTTGCAACTATATCCCAATGACAATCCCACGTTTCCATAACCACTACATGACGTCAAATATATTAGAGTGTCTTAATAGATTGCTTTATAGGATTTCAGTTTATAGAACCAAACAATCGTATGTCCTGTTAAAAAGCGTTAGCAATAAGTTCATAGGACATTACCAATGACATTTGACCTAGCGGTATCGTAGTCTTTGGCCTTTTCAGAGATCAGTGGTTCACACCTCACCAAAGGTGATGATGGTGCATGAGTTTATTTGTTGCATTTGTCGTATATAAATATTATATATTTCAAAAAGAAGTTCATAGGACTTTTTAGGACGTCTTACCAAGATTTTCAAAACGTTTTTGAAATAAAGTGTCGTATTAGTTTCTTTACAGAATATTTATAAGATATTTTCTCTCTCTTACTTTCTCCATTTTCAAAAAAACTATTGGAGCGAAAAGAAATGTTGAAAAACTTCATTTTTTTTCCATTTTAAAGAAGTTGTTGAAGATGTTTTTTAGGACACTTAGGGGCCGTTTACTTAAACACTTACCCGGTAAGCACTTACCGGTAAAATTCAACATTATCGCTTACTTACAGAGTAAGATTTTATTCACTAAAATGCATCGTATGCAACAATTTATCCCGGTAAGCGCTAACCATGGTAAGAGTCTTCGTCCTCACTTACCAGGTAAGATTTTTAGTTTTTGTCATATTCATCCGATAAACTAAAGTGACTTGATAAACGCTTACCCGGATAAGCGTTTGGTAAACGGCACCTTAGACATATTTTTACGTTTTTATAAGTCCGACGTTGTAATGAGTTGAACGACTACATGGATAAAGTTTAGCTGGAACTGACCTAATGACTTCAAAAACGATGCTCAAGACACTAAAGTTGAGGGGGTCTTTATGCATATTTTCAGCTTCTTGGATGCAAATAAGCATGATTCCAATGATCAAAAAGGTGAGTGGTGAGACCAGGAGGAATCCATTCAAACCTTCCTTTTGTTCTTCATTACACTTATTGTCTTTATCTTCTTTCGGCAAGAAATATGTGTACGGTGGAAGGTACCTGAATAAAGATCCGATCTCAATCACTAAGTAAAGGATACAGTAGCTGTAGCTAGTTATTCAGTTTTAATCATAATAGACTGTTTTATAAGAATTAAGTTATGAGACCAAACAATTGTTTAAATGAAAGTGTTGTAATAAGTTTATAAGACGTTTTTCAACGTCTTAAAAAGTTTTTTCATGGCACAATTTAAAATCAAACGCATTATTCGTTTTTTATATGACATTATTTGAAAATTTGTCTTAGGAAAACAAATGTTCAAGGGAAATTTGTCTTAGGAAAACAAATGTTCAAGGGAGAATAGACGCTTTTTCTGTTTTAAAAGTGTTCAATAAATTTATTGCAATGCTTTTACATAGGACATACAATTGTTTAGTCTTACAAACTTACATCTTATAAAACGGTACATTAAGATATCTGAATAGATGATTAGATCCGTTTTGTTGTAATGTCTTAAATGGGTTTATTGAAAATTGGTTGGCATTTCGAAATTAAACAATATCAGAAAAATCAAAGTTTTCTAATAATTTATTAAAAAACTTAGATTTATGAGACCAAACAATATATATAAAGGTAAAATGTACGAAATAGTAACCTACTTTTATAAATTTCTTTATTATAACATTGTACTTCCAGATTTTCTTATTATATTAATATACTTTCAAATTATTTTTTATTAGGGTATTGTATTATAAAAAATTATCTATTGTAACGATGTATAACTTTTTAATTTAAATTTACTCATTATACCAGGTTTTTATACCACCTCACTGTCCACGTAGGTTGTCCACATGTACTATAGCTAATGTGACATTCTTAGTACAATATTGTATTTTCAAAATTATTTTATTATAACACCTATACAACATTGTACTTTTAATTTTTAATATTTTATTATTTAAACATTTTACATATTATTTAATAAATATATTAAATGAATTAGAAAATTTCTAAGTTATTCATTAATAACCAATATTAATAAGACTAGTATAACACAAAATTTATCTTGCTAACATTTTTAAACAATATGTATTTTTGGAAAAAGAAAATAAGAATTGTTACTTTTTATACAAAGAAAATATTTTATCTTTTAAAGAAAATATTGTAGATCACAATTAATCTCGCTAACATCTTAATTTTTTTATAAGATATGTATTCTTTTAAATAAATTAAAATAAGAAGTGTTACCTTTTTTTTACAAACAAAATAATTATCCCGAAAATAATATATCATATTCATTTAAGAAATATCGTACTCTAAAATATTTAATTTGTATATAATTTAATAAAAAGTCAGAAAAAATTAAATATTTTTTAAATAGTAGCAATAAAAAATGAAAATCATTAAAAATAATTTGAAATAGGTTTTTTTTAGCCATCTCATAAAAATGGTGTGTTATCCACATCACCTCGTTATAACACATCACCTCATTGAAGCCAAGGAAGCAAAAATAAAAATAAAAATAAGGGGTTAACCGGTTTAAAAGATAACAAGTTACCCATTGCCATAATGAGTAGATTTTTAAAAGTACGATAATCTAATAAAAATAATTTTAAAGTACACTAGTGTAATAAAGAAAAATGAAACTAGAATGCTATAATAAAAAAATTTATGAAAGTAGGTTGCTATTTCATAAATTTAACCTTATATATAACGTTATATCTAAAAATGTTACAGTAAGTTTATATAACGCCTTTGGTGTTTTAACAAGTTTTCGAGATACTTTTGGAATAAAGTATCGTATTAGTTATTTACATAACACTAAGTATTTTATAAACACTTAGTGTTCTATAAAATAGTTAATACGACAATGTATTGAAAAGATGTGCTAAAAACCATATTAAAACGCTCAAACATCCTATATTGTAGCACTTTTAAATAAGTTTAGTCCTATAACAGACAGTTTTATGACACTTAGACATTTTTAATATCCTATAAACCCGATTTTATTAGTCCGACCTTTGTCGGTCCTTTTTGGATCAGGCTAGTCCTAGGTCTAAGTCCCATTTATTCATCTCTATTGTAGACATTAAGTTATTTGCAGTAACATGTAATCCATGATAAATAAAAGAAGGGTACGAATCAAAATAATGTTAAACTGGGCATGAAATCATAGTATAGAAAATGAATCTGTAGTAGCATCTCAAATTAAATGAATGGTACAAACAATTGAACCCCACATCTTAAAATCAACTGAATAACGTGTGTGTGGTGTATGGAGACGAATCCCAGACCTTGAAGCCTAAAAATATATCGGTTGTGTAGTACGTGGGACTTGTTTAGATCACTATCTAAGTTAAAGAGTAATTGGGTAAAAAAGAGGTTCTAATTAATATATACGTAGGAGAAATGATTTAATTTTAGCTGTAAAACATATATTTAATACTGATTTATTTAATTTATGATTCGATTCTCTTTTTAATAACGTATAGTATTTATTCATGTAACTGTTGAAAAAAAAAGAGGACATAAAATTTAAAGTTTATTCGTTAGAGAAGAGAAATGAAGGAAAATAGGATGAAAACGTGGTCCTCGTAGTGAGGTGCGAAATCATCTCTTTAAATGGTTGTTCACACACTTGGAATATGAGATGATGGGCTCCTGATCGTCGACATACAACTCGATTCCTACCTACTTGTTAATCACATCTTTTAATTCTTACATAATTTTATACATTTTTATACTATCACTCATATGTTGTAGAAGGGTATTCGTACGTACAATGCAGCGAGATATATTTTCATTTTAATATTTTGTTTAATTTTTTTTGTCTCTCTTGATATAATACGGTTTTTGTGGTTTTGAGAAAGATAATGTTTTTATGATTTAGTGAAGTAATTTATTTTTAACTTAACAATAAAATTTTATAAGATAATGATTATCGTAATTATAAATTAGATTTTTTATATTTAAAATAAGATATTTATCATATATTTGATGATATTTATCTGCAGTTAGTTATACGAATTTAAAAATAAAGTTTTAATAAGTTGTATTTACGCACAATTTATTTGTAATCTTAAATTTTAAGTAATATGCATTAATATACAATACTTCATGCATAAATAATGGTTTTTAAGAGTTCTTATCAAATGCTTTGTAATATAGTATAGATTAATCATGCCGGATAGACAAGTTTTATCTTGGAGTCAGAAGTGGCATTGCCTCCTCCTTAAGCTTTAAATATTTTTTCTGATATAATCCAGGCCTCAGTTATCCATTTGAAACTTTGTATAATTCATATTAATTTTTTTCTTACTTTATAAATGCCAAGTTTTCTAAATTTGTTCTAAAATAAAACGTTACTTGTTTGTATAAATATAGACGTAGTTATTTGTTTAGATCGCTTGTGTTTTCCACCGCTTTTTTACAAATATTTTTAGGACGGTTTTTAATTAAAAATCACATATACCTAAGAGTTTTCTTAACCTTGCAATCATGATTTTTTTTACATTTTTTCAAGGTACTCCTAGATAAATTTTCTGGCTCCGTCCGTGTCCGTGTCCGTGTTCGTGTGCCGACATGGATTGAAAGAAAATGGGACTAGAGATGTGGAGAGAGGAGAGGGGACTTACATCAACATGATGAATAACACAAGGATTGCCGGAGTAACGAGCGAAAGATCAAACACCGATTCACCGGTGTGCCTAGTGTTCACAACTTGAAATAACGACCCTATTACTTTCTCCAAAGGATTCAACCCCTCCATGAGTTCAGACTTCCATCCCATAGATACGAAAACCACGAACTGAATACCTATGAACCCGATACACGTTAGGCCAAGAAACCGACACCGGAACCCTGATAACAAGTGGCTGTACCCCAACTCCCAGTGGTTTCGCAAAACGTACTCCAACTCCTCCTTATCACTCACCTTACGTAGAATCGACAGTAGAATTCGAAGAAACACAGGATACAATGTGTTCCCAAGAAGGCCTAATGGGATTAGAATTAGTTGCAAACCTAAATCTTTCTTGAAAACCATCATGTTTTCGTTTGTTGGGAGATAGCCACAGTTGGTGAAAGTAGAGATTATGGTAACAGTTGAGAATACTGTTATGTTCAGATCTTTGCTGCTCAGAACTTCTTTTGCAGATGGAACAAGGCTTATGTATAGAGAAACTAGAAGAAACGAACTTATATGCACAGTAAGGAAGTAAATCAGGACGATAGACCCTAAAAACTTCATGGAATCGTGCTTCAAGTCTATGCCGTTGTTCTTCAAAGAGTTCGAATTGTTTTCAAGATCTGTACAGCCATTGGAGTCGAAGTACCGAGTCTTCTTTATCTCTAATAACCTAAACTTTTGGATTTGGAGTTCAAGCATTGAAGTGAAGACTTCTCCTCCCAAAAGCATAAGAATCGACAAGATAAACAGTTGGGTATTTGAGAAAACCTCCATATCGACTGTGGCCATGCTGGAAACAGTTGTAGCGGAGACGGAGGTGAAGAGAAGATCGAAGTTTTTGGGACGATCAAGAGGGTTTCTTGGCTCCAAGTTGGCTAAAACGATGAACCCTAAAACGCTCAGGGTGGCAAAGTAAGAGAGTTGCAGCCATAGAAGATCGACTCGAAGGAACGAAGACACGAATGCTTTTCTTTGGAAAGAAGTGGGAGCGATTGCGATCTTCATTGTTTGTAATAATTTGCTTCACAGATAGAGAATGATTATGAAGTATAGATAGAAGAGAATTCTGAGACATTTTTTGTAACGTTAAGTTAGTGGAATATGGTACACGTGGCATTGAAGTATATGTGGAATTGCTCATGGGACAATAGGTTTCAAATTAAAACATAGTATCACACATGACTTATGTTGAAATCCACATTTTCTACTAGGTTTTTTTTAGAGTTACATGGGTTTCCACGTATCGTTACGTAGTATGAAAAAACACTACTATTCTAGGGGTTCGACATTTTGAAATAATTTATGTCTATCTAACCTTCGTTGAAAGGACATGTTACTGTTTTAGAGTATCACATTGGCTAGATTTGAACCATTTCTCTTATCTATATGTTGAAGCTTTCCAATCCCTTGTATTCTTAACGGTTCTTTTAAAGAATAAATGATGTTCTATTAGTTCATTGTTTCATTTTGACATTCATGCATTGTTCTCACTATATGTGTGTTTGATGCATAAGTTCAATACCTTTTACTCATACAATGAACTACAATCATTAATATGAGTTTTTATGTATTTTAGAAGTCGTTTACTAAACCTTTGTTGAGTAACTCTTTATCAACATGAGTCATCATCTTCACTTATCTTATCGGATAACATTCTAGGTCATGAAATGGATCGTTGTTAAACGTTTATCACCTGCTAGCTAACTGGGTGAGAGTCTTCTCTGTCACTTATTGATCAAAATTCTCGGTTTTTATTATGCCTCTTGTTAGATAAGATTTTCAGTTCTTACCATGCTCACTTAGTAAAGTAAGTAATACTCGATAAGCATTTCTCTTATGAAGCGCTTGGTAAACGACTACTTAGTCTCCACCATACTACGTACTTTAACTCCGGTCTAAAAATACCCATGACATTTTAACAATTATATGTTCTAGGGTTCTAATCATGTTCTTTATACAACAAAAAATTAGAAACATAAAGTGTATAATAATCTATATATGAAATATTTAAAATAGAGACAAACGTCCAAGAGGGTTAGCTTGGTCAGCTGATAACCTCTTTTTGGTTTTCCTTTTCCATCAATATTTAACACTCTTATTTTAGGAGCTGTTTGTTTTTAATAAAAAAGCTCTTAATGTCTTCTTAAGTCTGAATCGATCAGACATAAGAGGATTCAGTGTGTTTTTTTTTCAATTAAGAGCTTAAAAACTCTTATTAGGTCTGAAAATTTCAGTGGTTGAGAAACATCTTATTACCTCTTATTTCAAATCGTCGCCTACCTACTCTGATCTCTTTGCGCTCGATTTCCCTGGATCAACTATTCTGTCTCGATCTCTCATCTCTCAACTATGTCAACTATCGATCCATATCAACTCTCGATTTCTCATCTTCAAACTTCAGATTTCAGACACAAAAAACAAACAGTCTGACTGATTCAGATTTCAAACTTCAGCACCACCTCTTAAAAATCAGAAGTGAATTCAGACTTCAGCACCTCTTAAAAAACAAACGCCACCTTATAGTGTATCTTTCGATGTTAGGACCACATTAAATAAGGAGGCAATTCATGTTTTTTAAATCGTATAGATTTTTTGTTATTTTAGACAGTAGAAACTATACACACACAAATGTGTGTGTACTATATATATATAGACTTGGGATCATGTGAGACCAATGGTTTTTCGTGAGACCCGTAAGACCAATTCTCAACCCTTGGATTAGATTTACAATCGTCAGATCTGAACATTTATAAACGCCACGAGACTTCTCACTAATTACGAAATTGCCACCTTGCAACTTTGCAACCATTAGATCATTAATTCATAAATTTGATCAATGAACATAAATTGGTCTTACGGGCCTCACGAAAAACCCTTGGTCTCACGTGAACCCAACCATATATATATATATATATATATATATATAGGAGGGTTACGTTGCAAACCGCTCAATTCATAAAAACCATGCAAGCCACTTTCGACCAATAGGAAAATTCCGTTTTTTTTCCTTTAATTTTAATCAGTAAGGGTGTAATAGTCATTTTATTGTATACTGATTAACATTGGAAGGTAATAAATAATGTTAATTTTGAAAACATAATAATGGAAACGTTACATATAGAAGGAGGTAAATCATTTCTTCTTAATATAAATGTTTTACCATTAATATGTTTTATTATTTTTTACCATTATATTTTATAAAAATATGAATTTTAAAAACAGTTGAATATGAAATTTGTGTTCCGTTTCATTGAAAAAATATATGTAATTTGAGTAATGAAACTAATTTCATGTTCAATAATGACCAGCAAACAATTTCACAATATTTCGGAACGTTTTATGCATGAAAAACGTTCATTAAATAAGAAAAAATTTTAGTTTTCAAAATGTCTCATTAAATTTTTAAAAATGTTTCATTCTTTATATATTTCATCGTTCAACACTACATGACAATCGGTGTTTCTTTAATGACAATCACGTGAGTTCGTTTTGTAAACGGTGAAACAGTTTCGTTAATTGATTTAATAGTGCACAATATATGTTTTTAGTATTCAAAGTGTTTCATTATTTTTAGTTGATTATAATATGTTTTATATTTCATAATTTATTAGGATATACCTAACTCATTGTAGGTGACAAGTAGTCACGTGCGTTCGGTAGATGAACCAGTGAAATAGTTTCATTCGTGAAATTTAATGGTACAAAAAATTTGTTTTAGTGTTCAAAAGGTTATATTATGTTTAATTGATTATGAAATTAGTTTCATTACTCAAAGTACATATATGAAAACAGCTTCATCATGTTTAGTTGAACATGAAATTAGTTTCATTACTTAAAGTACATATATTTTTTCATTGAAACGGAACACAAATTTCATATATATAACTTCTTTAAAAAAAAAAAATTAAAATATAATAGTAAAAAATAATAAAACATATTAATGGTAAAATATTTATATTAAAACGAAATAATTTACCTCCATCTATATGAAACGTTTCCATTATTACGTTTTCAAAATTAACAGTATTTATTACCTTCCAATATTGGGGATTTTACAGATTTGCCCTTTTTTCAATTAAAAATTAAACTTTTATTTTCTTTCTTAATATAAACTCATTTAATCTTGACTATTAATTAAAAAAAAATGGATGAATGAGATTGGTTTGTAAGGTTTTCACAAATAAGGGTGATTTGTAATTGATCTATGCTATATATATATATACATATAGATTTGGGATCATGTGAGATCAGCCTGTTTTCGTGAGACCCATGAGACCAGTTTTTTACACTTGAAACTTCACAGCAAAATGTTGTGAAAGTAACCTTCACAGTGTTTTTGCTGTGAAGATTCGACTTTTTTAAACCTTCACAGTGTTTTTGCTGTGAAGTTTCAAGTAAGGGTGTTCGCGGTCCGGTTTGGGCGGTTTAACCCCTCAAACCACAAACCAAACCGTAATGGCGGTTTATAAAATTTTCAAACTGAGCGGTTTGACATCAAGTGCCCAGACCGGTCAAACTAGACCAAGTAAAAGCAGTCTGGTCTGACCGGTTTAGGCGGTTTGGGTCTTTAATGGACTTTATATTAAACTTAATATATATATATATATATATATATATATATATATATATATATTTTAGAATTTTAGATTAAGTATCCATTTTAACAAAAAAATATCTAATCAAATAAATGTAATAATTAAGCAGCTCTTGAGTACAAAGTCGAGGCAATCCAAAGTACAAACATATAAAGATATAACATATTAGAAAACAAATAAATTAACAAAGTTACAACTCTACTGTGAGTATTGAGTAACAAAATTCACGACTTTACRACCTTCAATGGTTCAATTCTTAAGTCTTGACCAAACAAAATAGAAGCCAAATCTAAGTTGGTTGATGTCTTGATAATGTGTGCCAAAATCAAACCATGGATTAGAAAGATCAATAGATTGATAGAGTTTTTGAGGGATTTCAAAATTTGGAGACCGTCAATATCAAATGTGTCGATATGTTCAATGGTTTAATGGTTTTAGTCGTCGATTTTGATTATGTTAATTTGGGTCATAGTCAATAAGTTAAAAAAGTTGGGCTTGCTAATATTAAAATAGATAAATAAATATATATATAGAGGAGCGATCAAATGAAAATCATTCCAATTTGTAAAAACCGTAAAAACTACTATCATCCATCGTTAATCTTATGAAATTTTTTCATGAAATTATTAATCTTGTGAAATTATTTCATATAATACTTTTTTTGATGAAATTGTTTCATATATGGTTATAAAATTGTTTCATATACTACTTAATGAAATTTTAATGAAACCGTTTCATGTATTTCTCTAAAATTAAAATAATGAAGATGATAATATCTATGATTAACACTCTCCACAATAAAAATGGTTAATCAACCTCTTATAATTACAAAAAGTTGAACAAAATGAAAAATTATGATTGGTTGAATGAGGTTTTCACGGTTTTTACAAATTGAGTGATTTTTATTTGAACCCACCCCTATATATATATATATATATATATATATATGTATTTGGCGGTCGGTTTGGTCCAAACCGCCCAAAAAAGTTTCCAAACCGCAGACCGGACCGGACCACCCGGTTTTGCTATTTTCCAAACCAGACCGGACCGCCAGACCGCTCAAACCGCCAAAAACGGTCTGGTTTGACTTGGTTCGGCCGGTTTGAGCGGTCCAACGATTTTTTTGAACAAGTGTAAAAATGTGGTCTCACGGGTCTCACGAAAACAGTCGGGTCTCACGTGAACCCAACCTTATATATATATATAAGGGCCTAATCAAATGAGAACTGATTAGTTTGTGGTAATTGTGAGGTCCAATCTCAACCACAAATCAACGGATAAATTAGGAAATTAATAATTATGGTAGTTTGAGTTAAAATTATAATTAGAGGGCATATTATGTATTTTTAAAAAACTCCTCTCTCCTCTCTCATCTCTCCGACCTCCAATTTTCGGCCTCTGGTGAAATCG